CTGTAATTCTGATATCTGAAAAAGAAAGAAAATAATGTCTTAATTAACCAATGGCTTGATTTGCTAATTCACACAGTAGGGCTTATATAAATATTGTGTGCTGAAAAATACATGCCTGCATGAAAGTAGCAGTTTAGACATTATAAACCTAACCTAACTTAACTGTTGTAGCAGCTACAACAACAACAACAACAATCACATCAACTGTGTTATTTTAAATGAGCCAGTTATCCATAAAGTACACTGTTTAATGATATTTCATGTGTATATGTAAATAGCAAATACATTCTGCAACACAGCAAAACATCAAGTTTCACTACACTGAAAATGCCTATATTTCCAACATGTAAATCACATTTGTCCTGTTCATTTGTCAGTTCTGCTTCATTGAAATACAAGACAATAGTGAATAATTACATACTTATTACTACAGCATCAATCCTTTGCAGAAACATCAAAACATATAATGTTTGGTCCATATGAGCGATAGGCTACTATGGTGCTTGTTCGAATCCCATGGCCGGTGCTTCTTGGGCCCCTAAGATCTCTGGAATGAGCTTGCAAATCACTTTTTTTACCAATGTAACCAATCTGAAACCACACACTGTCCCCAATTGCTTGCAATGCATAGTTTATCCATAATTTAAGATGCATTTCTCTAAAAATCATCGTTTTCTATATAAATCTTATAAAAATAAGCTATAGTAGATCTATATTGCTAGACACAGGGTGCAAAAAAAAAAATTATCAATTTTTAAACTGCTTTATACAAATCTAAATTTCATTTTTTAATTTTAAATTTATTTTACAGTTTTAATTCAATAAAATGTGGTTAATCTTTCATGCAAAAGCTCTGTGTCTTTCTCCCTGCTTACTGACACAGTAGCAGACATCTACATTTGAAGGGGAGATAACAAAAACAACATCTGTCCCAATTTAAAATGTCAAATTTTAAAATTTGAAATAAAATTTAAAATTTTCAAACCTGTCAGTTATCCTTTATTTTCCTGATTTCTATTCATGAACACAACACTGATGCAAAGTTTCATCCATATCCATCAACCAGTTCCCATTTTTCTCATTTCTTATCTTGGACTTGGCCCGGTGAATTTTCGCACTATTTGTTCTATAGTAAATCAGTCACATTTGACGCTTAATTCTGGATTCCACTGTTCTTGATGAATTATATACTGTCTTCAACTTTAAACATTAACACTATCTAAGTCAAATGAGGCCCAAAATATAATAGGTTAGCCATCTACTTTTTTCAGAAATCTTCATTCTGTTGTAACACTGTTTAAATTCACCACTTTAAAAACTCTTGACAGCTAGTGGGTAGTTCACCTTTAATCCTTCCGCCAACAAATGAGTTCCTGGAAGATACACAAAATACAACTTTTAAAGTCATCATATAACACACAAAAACTATACACATGCAATAAATACACTTTAATTATGACCAATTTATCGAGATGACTTAAATTGGGCCACTTTAAAATTTTAAAGAACTACTTTCTAGACTACAATGGGTTCGGTCTAATTCCGTACCGGGTTAAGACTATATAGATGTGGAATGACATGTGGAGAATATGGCATATGTTAAGTATTAAATGTTTATAAATAAAACATTGTACATGATTATGCTGTTGTTTTCACAATGACGTATGTTTACCAAAATAGTCCTAACCTTTTTACTTAAGACAAAATCTACCTAATGGATATAAAAAATATTCACTTGTGCATACGTGCATTATCCTTGTCATGTGAAATATTGTAAAATGACAGATGATAAAGGAGGCAGTGGTAAAAACATAAAAATGATGTATAATTGACATTTATACATTAATATTCATTATGTATTAACTTACTGCATGTCGTTAATTTTATAATTGTAAGGGCACTAATAATTGTTTGACCTTACTTTAAAATTATTTTTAATCGCATAAGGCAGACATGTTTCATGAAAACATATTTCATATTTTACTCAAACAAAAAAGTATCCTTAGGAATATAATAACAGAGACCTATACGGAAGGCCAGTGAGTGATTTAATACAAATCATTTAACGATTAACCATACATTATTTTACTGTAACATACGAAAAGATAATATTTATTTCCATTCTAACATAGTAATAAAAAGATAATTAACAAAAACATGTTGAATGTTATTAAACATAAAAGTAAGGATTTAACTCAATGCAGGATTGGAGCAGTTTGTTTAGACGCTTGCATAAATCATGGTCACAAAATAGACAAAATATTTTTTTTTCGCCGATTATCAGATTTTTTAATCCTTATCGTAGATAAATCGGTGTGAAAAGATGAATTAGACGTTTTAAATTTACATCCGTAAGGAGAAAAGGCGAGATTTTAGCATATAATCATTCAAGCGTCTTGTCCGGTATGTACCGGAATACATTATTTAGTATGGTGCTCCAATCTCACTCTAGAGTAATATATCTTACGTCATTTTGTTTATAAATATGACGTCATATCTGGCTTTATATTATGTGTTATATCCTTCCTTTTTACGCTATGCATTTATTTCATGTTATAATGCACTTAACTGCCTTACCTATTTAGTGAAGCGTACATGTTTCAATTTTATGTAAATTTACAAATTTACTAAATCTTGAATAGATCTATTATTTTGAATAACATACGGGCTAAAAATCTGGCAAAACCATCTATCAGTCTGACATAGGGTCCAATGGAATGGATTTTCTTTCATGTATAAAACGTATCACTCGTAAGCAAAAAAAAAGTGTTTATTTCTACAAAAGTTAAATCTATCTTAAAAGTATTTATTGAAGTTGTTATTGTTGTTGTTGTTATATGTAAAATTCAATGTAATTATATATATCTTCTGAATAATACTTGCTGATTACCCTATTATATTAGTTTTTTCTTCACTTATGCCCTCAACTTTTACGTATATATCTTTATCATACAATAAAAAAGAGCTCCAATGTTTTTTCAACACTTGTTCTTTTTGTATTTATAACTTAAGACAAAGGTTAGGAGGGCCCTAAGGCACCTATAGGTATAGTCCTAATTTTTGTCTTAATATTGGACTTATGACTTTTCTTGAAACGCAATTTTATCACAGTTTTGCACTTACGACTAAAATCAGTAGTCCTAAGATTCTTTATGAAAAGATCATATTATATTTTTCAGATAACCATGAAAAGTTTGAAATCCCCCATGGAGCTGTTCAGTACGACAGAAGTGAAAACACCAATACATAAAGTTCATATACAGGATGAAGATACCATTTATGTTTTGGGATCTCACCATGTTAACTTTATATTTTATTTTTCTTTATTCAGTTTAGATATGTCTTGTGGTGTTTTAATATCAATCAATAACTTACGTTCGTAAGAAGTACTGTTTTCTTTTAGGGGAAATAATTTATATGAACAGTTAAATAAAAGCAAACGCTTTCCTTAGCTTTCGACTTTTTGTCTTCTTCCGAAAAAAAATGACTTTATGGTTTATAAAAGAAATGCTTATATCCTTACTTATTTCAAGATAGTATTCCTCACACTAAATGTTTGTATAGCAACAAATGTGTATACAATACCCTAGTGCTACAAGGATTATTTTGGTCTTCATGACAAATTAATATAACAAATCTACTATCGGTTCTACTATCGAATCCAACAGTGATCATCGTATTTATTCATGCGAAACAACTTTCAATTTCGATTTGGTTTTAACTAATTTTTTTGTCGTTGTTCTTATGAAAAACGATTATTTTCTATTCAAAAGGTGTATTCGTATTCACAGTCCGATTGCTCAGAGTTCAAGTCTATTGCTGAAACAATAGCAGGTCGGAACCCATTGTGTGGCTGGTGCGTCTTAAAACAAAGGTACAACATAGAAAAATAAAGACGGGCCCTGTGTTCACAAAGATTTAAGGATCAGGATCAAGATCAAATTTAAAAACTCAAATATTCTCCATTATTTATCCTCATAGATTAAATATTCAACATTAAATTGATAAAACTGGACTTAAAATATCATGTTTATGAAATTTTAGAATAAATTTATTGTTAATTTACAAAAAATGGGCATTTACCGTTGATCCAAATTTTGATCTTGATCCTAAAATTGATCCTCATATCGATCCAATTCTTTTTGTATTTGTTTTGTTATTAGTTGATTTTAAAGGTTGGTTCCTTTGCAAATAAGCAATTATTTACAATTCGAATATGTTCCATTAAATTCTAGCATATTAAAATCAATTTAAGTTTTATAAAACAATGAAAATAAAATCAGAATCACCTGATCCTGATCTTTTCTTTGTGAACACGGGGCCTGGTGCCCAACTTAACTATTTAGAACCGATGATGTGGGAAATTCTTAAAAAATAATATACATTTTAAAGAGCTCTCCCCAGTAGAAAATTACCAATAACCGGAACCGTATTTTGCTTCTGTTGCCATCTAGCAATGAATATTGTTACATGTAGAAGAATTTAGTGTTTTGTATGGAAGTCAAAATACTATTTGTTAACATTTTCTATTTTTAATTACTTTACACTTATAGTTTACAACATTTAAAAACAAAATTCCATGTTTTAACAATTAAAACGCATGCCTCCAGAAGATATCAGAAAACCTTCCTTTGTACTAATACTTTGAAAGTTTTCTTCCAATACATTGAATAAATGAAACAAATTGAAATATCTCTTTTAAAGTTAATATTTTGATATCTTCATTTCGATAACAGACTCTTTTACTTTTATGATTTGTATACATTCTTTTATTACACTACGGAATTCTTTCGCCGGGTTGTTCTTAATTAGTACCACATGATGGTATAAGAAGATATCATGATCAAGGATCAGAACGCTTGTGATCTGGAATTGAAACAAACGGAAAAAGTAAGCAAATAAACTGTTTAGTTTTAGTGCTGTTAAGATGCTGCTTTAAAACTTTTAAAAAAATAGTGCACAATATCATAAAACATGACATAAACATCTTTTTTAAAGAGCAACAAGGAAATCTAAATGCTCGGAAGCGCCCTTCCAGTGGATATCGTCGTTATGCAAAATTCATATAACGCCATCAAAAATACCTGTTAAGGTTTCAAAGATTTCAAACGTGAAGGTAAACTTTATCTATTTATTTATCTATTCGACTTTTTTTGTATATTAATGTGCTTTTCTTCATTTGTATAATGACGCATATTCACACAATATTAAGAGTTGGCGTAACTTGAGTTACAATGTTTTTACCTTAACTTTAGTCTCAGGTGCTAAACATTAATATAAATAATTAAAATTGTACTGGTATCTTAAACAAAAATTAAAATGATAATAGTAACTATTAATAATTAAACATATTCTGGTATTCTTGTGTGCGTGCGTGTGTGTTATTTTTTATCAACAACAACACATTATTTGCTCTCCCGTGCAATATACATGTATACGAAACATTTATCATGTTGATGTTAAAGTTCTTTTTATGTAAAGTTGTTTATTTTGAATACTGCATTTCAGGTGACGATTACTTTTGATCATCTTCCAAAGCCGCGAAAAGAGGATGCATTTAAATGCAGACTTGTAAATATTAAGAACGACATCATTGCCTCGGATATGCAAGCAGAGAACAAAGAAAGTGCGATTACTTGTGCCATGCCTTTCATAAAAGGTTTTGTTATCTTTATAATACGTTTATCAAGTTTTGTTGTTCTTTGGAATTAATTGTTATCATTTGTGTTTCATCCGCTATTGAGTTGCGGCGATATATATGGATTACTTCACCGTCATCTGTCGGTCACAAAAATTATCAGGACTACTCCACAGAAACCACTGGTGCAATTTCATCCAAACTTTACATGAACGATAAATACAATATCTAGTTGTGCATACCATCATCATTTTTGGGTTGAATGATTTTTGTCAGGGTAATGGCCCTCTAATAATTTTCGTTTTCAAAGTTTGTCTGGACTACTCCTCAATTATCATTAATGCAATTTCAATGAAACTTTACAAAAACTACATGATTACAACCAGCCACACCTTACAGTAATTACTATTTTTTTTGGTATATCTGTCTGTCCATCAGATAAGCTTATCCGGACTTCTCAGAATCTACTGGTGCAATTTTATTTAACTTTAAAGGAATAATCAGTACAAAGTCTAGTTGTACAGATCATCGGTATTTTCAGGTTAAATGATTTTTGTCAGGGTTATATCCTTTTACTGATTCTTATTTTTTTAAAGTTTTGTCCGGACTACTTCTGCAATTTCAATGAAACTTTACAGAATTTATCGGTAGAAAAAGTAAAGTTAACGCCTTTTCCTGTTTAATGATTTTACCTTAGTAATGCCCTTTGAAGAAAAACAAAAGGCGTGTTGGCTTGTTCACGATTTTTTGTCTCCTACTACACAGTTTCTGCGACATGCGATTGGCTATCATCAGGCAACACTTGTGATTACTGATGGCAGCTGTTTAAATAGTGCTCAATTCTGTTTTAAAAGGCGTTTGTGATTTTGCACTTCATACACTTTATACTGTCTCCTCTTAACAAAAATAAAAACTAAAAAACTAAAAATAAAAAATTGAGTTTGTGATTTTCTTTAATGGCTTTCTTGCTTTTATGGAAATGTTTTCTCCAAAACTTTTGATTACAGGTCAAGTTAATTATGTTAAAGCAAGACTAACATTCAAATGCTTTTTATATGTGCTATATACTGGCATAAAATTTCATTGAGAGCAGCTTGTATGGCATTTGTCAGTTTTATTTCATTCATTTTATTTCTGTTTACAAGTCTTTATCGGGATGGTTTCACGAAATTAACAGATATTCAGTAAGGTTGTTATAAAAATATTAATTTATGACATGTATCAGATTGGAGCACTCATAGGCGGTTGAAAATATAATTGAAAAATGAACCAACACAATTGTATTGTTCATTTTCTCATAAGAATTTGCATATATTTTACAATCCTGCAAAATATTTCTTTCCATCATGAATTTTTAAGCTGAGATGAATCACTCATTTTGGTATTGAAAATTGTTCAATTAATAATGTTTAATCAAGAATTAATGCAGAGGAGTTCATCAAACGAAGTTTAAAATGAGCTATATACATGTATAAACACTAGAATGCAAATAACATTAGACAAAATGGACATGTTTTAACTACATTAAACAAAGACGATGCATAAACGTTTATAAAGTACTTTTTTTATTTCAGAACATATAGAGTTAAAACTTGGGGTTTCAGTCCAGACAACTTTGAATGAGAGTATCCTTATTTCAGAGGCAACCATTTTATTTTTCGAATGTATTAACTTGCACAGGTACTGTTATTTTTGTTAGAATTAATTTTAAACGTAAAACATGACATTGTTCCAGGTATCAGCTCTTTTGTGACGGAATGTATTGTCCTTCAGTGTAAAGTTTTATTTCAAAACAAATTTCGAGAATATCTTCGCCCTCCTTTAAAAATAAACATAAGTAGTTCTTTTGATATCTCAATGGCAAATGAAAAGAATAATGTTGAAAACTCACTTTAATATCGGTCCAATTACAATGACGGGGTATTAAAGTCACAGCGCATGTTGTTAAAGTATACGTGTTATAAAACTGCGGTGTGTGTCTTAAAACCTTGTCCTTTCAAGTTTTCTAATTCCAATATATTCTGGTACAAAAAGATACATCCCAATGTACTCGATGCCTTTACTAAAGAAAATCACTTACAAGAGCCCCAACGATTCAGTCCAAAAGGCCTTTAGAACTGTTCATCTTAGAATCTTCCACTTGGTCTGACAGATGCAGACAAAAGAGGAAAGCGTAGCCTCTGTGAAAGTGTTGAGCACCAAGCGTATAGTAAGCATTAAAATAAATGCATTTATGTTCTTTTTACAAGAAATTAATGTGTGTTATTTTTAAGAAATGAATCATATTATCAGCAGCTCAGACTAGATGATCTATTCCTTAATTGGCTGGTATTTGCATATGTTTTAATATAAAAGAAGCGCTCAACGCGCGAATGATGTCATGCTTTTAGGATATCGTAATAATTCTATCTTAATCGGCCTCATTCACCCTTGGACAATTCTGGAAGAAATATCGATGATAAACGCAAACAACGACTCTTATAGACTTTAGTTACTAAAGTAGAAATCAATGATAGAAAGTTTCAATCCAAAAGGTATATTTGTTCTTTTAACCTTTACTTTAAACATTCAAATAAAAAGCTTACAGACGGAATTTATATATTTTTCCTTGTTTGACACTTTATTAAAAAAAAAACATGTACATTTGAATAAAATTATTTACTGCCGGTAATTGTTAGTTTTTATAACTAACTCACCCTAAAACGGAAATTGAGCGCATAATCTTCTTTAATAAAACAATAGCCATTAGGTAAAGTGTCGACTCCCTTAACTTATTTTAAACATGTGTGATTTATATCGTTCAGAATAGAGATAAATAATCCCTAAAGAACGTCAAAAACGGTAAACTTGTTAATGTTGCAGACTCGGTTTGACTGACTTTTTTATGCCCCCGCCATAATATAGTGTTACCCTGTTCCGTCCTTCCGTCATTCCTTCATCATCAGTTTCCGTAAATTATCTTAGTAACGGTTGCACACATTCAACCCAAATTTGACACATGGATATATAATGAGGTCAAAAACTTAAATTTGTGCAAACAAATTTGGAACTAAATATTAAAACATCTGAAATTCTGGCTGCATGCGGGGGGCATCCGTGGCGTGACGACACATTTCTAGTTTCATAATCAGAAAAATCTTCGATAAATAAAAGAGTAAAACAGCACAGTTTGTAAAACATTATACTATGTTAAAATGTGACGACGTTTGTATACGGTAACATTGTCAGGTTTCGTTGTATTCCTATCAAATACCTATGGGTAGAAATAGTGTACCACTCGTGGCCGATATGTTGCCTCTCATCAGATACACAACAGAATGTTATAGAAGCATTTATAGCATTTCCCGATACCGTTATGATATTTCTAAACTGGTAAATACTTATTTGATGGTACTTATATCTATCCTAAAGAACTTAAATCTAATAAAACAAATTCTTGAAACCATACTACAAAATGTTTGGATCTTGGTCTTCATATTAAAGTCGATAACAATACTGTTCATACAAAAATCTACCGTAAGAGAAATAGCTTTGTATAGTAAATTAATCCCATCGTAGAAGACGTACCTCATGTAACATCTTACGGGATATATGTATTTCATTTAATTAAAATCGCATTTTTTGTAGCCATGTAAGATTTTAACGAACGGAATATTTTCATTAGAATGCTTCTAAAACAGGCTACCGCTGTCGTAAATCACCGAACAGTTTAACTAAATGTAATGATCGTAATTTCGATCTTATTTAAAAAAATTTATAGCGATTGGACAACACTTATGCGAATAGGCCTGATTTCTATGGGGATATGATCTACAAATTCCGTTAGATATTGTGGTATTTTTCTGCTGCCTTTCTAAAATAATTAAAACGTTTTATTAAATTACGTCATGACCTTACTATTAAAAGACCTCTGTTTTCATATTTTGTATTGTGTCAATTCTTTATTTCATTTTGTAGATGCGGTGACTGTATAGAAATATCGAACCACCAATGTGGCTGGTGCAATGATGCAATGAACTGTATGCCACACAATTCGCTGTGTAAAAGTCAGCTTATAATTGAAGTAAGTCTTTTTGTACAATGTTTATATATCGTGATAATATTGTGTTACTAGTATTGCTTGCATGAATAGATATTAATATCATGATGGTACTTAAAATACATGTACTATTATTACAGATTAAATGTAACGATATAAAGTGCATATGAAATATTGATTAACATAATGATGAATAAAAAGCACGTTATCAGAATGTATATGAAAAATATATGAAACATAATCGCATGTGAATGCGATATGATTTGAGGACTAAATTAATTTTGGCAATTTTGGGTTTATTCATTTTATGTACTTAAAAACATTCGAATCTTTCCATATCGAACTCATTAAAATTGTCAATAAAAGCGCGTCGTATTTTATCCATTTGTTTTAAATCGTTTAATTAATTCAATTTAAAATGAAATAAATGTAAGATCCTATTGCATAGATATCTGTACACAGTAGAAAACTGTAAGGTATCTGGACAAGCTGCAGGCCGACGAAATTGTCTACATTTAATTTTAATAGAACTTGTATTCAAAGTTATCTCCGTTTTGTGCTATAAACTTACGATATCATTTTACATTTACGTTCGTTTGCCATGAAGTTTCTACTTACTGTAAGTATCTTCCCTCTCCTAGTTTTTATTTTGCACTCCTACCCTTTCCCCCTCCCCTTGTGGTTTTCTATGATTTCATTTTTGGATAATTTATAATGTCATACCGTTCTAGGTTTGCCCGTGAATCTTGTTTATTTGATGTCCTGCTGGAATCTTTGCTGGTTTTGGGATACGTACACTGAATGACCCACCTTTCTTTTTTTATCATGCTTTTCTATTTAATAACCTCTGATACCCTTTCAAATTCATCTCGTTTAGTCTGCACATTCTTTTCATTAAGAGCATACGCTTTATTTTACTTGGATACCACACACCGCTTACCAAAGAAAGGCACTAACGTGCCAAAATCGAAGGTTCCATGATAAATGCAGTATGAACACGTCTGCAAATGTTTATAAATTCAAAAATTTCACAATTTTTGTGTTAAAATGTTGAATTCTTCATTTGTCGGTGCTAGGGGCGTGGATAGTTACTTGCATTTTCCTAAACCGTCCAGGAAAAAATCAATTAAAGCCAGCTTGCTAATTCAATTTTGTGGTTTTGGGCGGTATTAAGGGATTCCGTTTTTCTCTATTCAACTGTGGAAAAAAGGCAAAGTCCACTGGGTCGAGGTCCGGTGCCAATGGTAAGTGCGTCAGTATCTGACGACATTTTCTAGTAATAAGTTAGGAACCGCTGAACAAAGGCTTGCTTATCACTGAAGATCTACAGTATGATATTTACTTACTGTCTTACTCCTGAAACATGTTTTAAAGTTAACGATATGAATGTAGGATTTCAGTCCATACTGTGATCTATTGGTCCAACCAGCAATAAATCAGCTATGTCATTAAAATCAAGGTTCCTCAAGACACCACTGTATCATTCAGTGCATTTAATTTTTATGTAAATGTCTACTGGTCTGCACGCAGAACTTGATCGCCTTTTGTCCTCTACCTTCGTCATTTATGCCGATTATGATTTCAAAGCGTTTTCTTTTTCCTTTGTTGCGGCGGATACGTAACTATATATTGATTTTTTTTTAATTTAACGATTTATTATTTCTACGTTTCTTTAAACCATCCTGGTATCTACTTTACTGAAATGAAATTGGGGAAGGTATTTTCAATTTAATTTAATTCAATAGCTTAATTGTACAAGAGGTTTCCGGCCTATGCACAGTGCATATAATATTCAAAACAAATTAACATTACTGGTGATATAGTAATGGTTAAATTTCTAACATAATTATACAGTACATTCTGAATTTACATTATTCAAAACATTTTAGGAAATTATCTTTTTCTTTCATTGCATACTAAAAATACATAACGATATAACGTATCAACGAATCGTCTTTAGTTGTCATTACAGAGTTAAACTTTTCAACAATTGGGTATTGATAGTATTACAATGGTATAAAAATAAACGTAAATTTACATATTAAGAACATATACGATAAGAAAGTGATATTCATCCTCTAATTAACATCGATTCACAGTACATACAATGACGGTGTTCTCTTTCAATATTAAAAAGTCACAATTTTCAACCATTAAACCATATGATGAGCTTCTAAAACTAGCAAAGCACTTTCTATACTTGTCTATAGGATATATGATGATCGTAATTCTTATATGAAAGAATAAGTAAAGTACACGATTTACTGGGAAAACCCTTGTATATCTTTCATCTGCGGATATTTATTAATTCACAATTACACCTTTACCATGTTTAAATGTTGAATCCTGCTAAAGCCGGTACTATTGGGATGTGGACGGTAACTTGCACATTCCAATACTCACCATGAACAGGTTAAATCAAACATAGCCTTTTGAGTTTTGCTGTTTTTGGCGTTCTCTGGGATTGCGTTTTTCTACATTTCATGTGATCGTATGGTCAGATATAAAAATATGAGCTTTTGTGATAAAAAAATTATTTTACTGAATATTTTTCTTTTAAATTAATTTTGAATATTTTAAAAATCAGTATCCATATTATAGCAGAATAAAAATTAAAACGTAAAGAATGAGGCCTATGAGTAGCTTTTGTAGTTATTTTGCAACATTATTTATGTTTCTTTCCATGCTAATTTTTGTTGTTTTCTTTTCTAGAAAACGTTTTGTCCACAGCTGACAGATTCACGTGGGCGCCTTTATGTACATGCCGGTACTTTGACCTCTGTGCTCTTTCAAGGAAAACATCTTCCAAAGGTAGGAAATTTTAATTAATGTTAAAACTAGTGCGCATACATCAGGCTAATGACAAACGAATTTAACCAGTCTGTCAGAAATAAGATTAAAGATAAACAGAAAACACTTTTTTCTTTTTTTTAAATTGTAATAAAGAAAACTATTGAGCAAAAATAATTTAATACGTTTATGTATATTATTCTGAATAAGTTATTGCATGTTATTTATAAGTGCAGATATGGATATATCATTAGAAGTCCATGTAGGCCAAATATCATGCAGTAAATCCCAAAAGCACGCGAAATGTCTGCCTTTCAATTGCAAATCAAAATGTAACAGCAAATTGATGCTTTCTCTAATTGGTTGGTATGATGAAACTTTTTAAATCAACAATGTTTTATACACGATCAGAGTGATTCGTCTCACTTATTACACAAAGGCATCTTAATATCAACACCTTTTTAGTCTATTGTTTTCAATAACTAATTCCCTTGGAAGATAAATCATGCAGGCAAATAAGATCACATGATGGTTGTGCTGTTACTTACTTATCATTCTCTTTATCACCTTAATGCACTTTTTTGCGACAGTCACTAGTGACACCGCCTTCAATAATAAATTAACTGGTTTCATAACATATTTTATAAAAAGATCAAACAAATATTATTACAGAAGTCGGGTGTTTAAGGTATTGAATTAACATATGGTTGTGTGGCTGCAACTAAGATGTTTGACAGAAATTGTAAAGGTCAAGCGGATGACCTGCATTTTCCACAAATTAACTCTTTGTCTTCTTTTGTTGTTTCACTAAAACCTTTTCATTTTGTTACTGAGTAAATAGCTGTTGATATACGTGCTTTCTTTTTACATTTTAATTGCCCTGAAACGTATAAGTGCCCTAAAATGCCCAGGTAATTTGTCTACCCACAATGACACATTTCGACAATAATTATCCTGGAAAAAGGCTTGCCAATGAAAGCTTGATAGAAATATAAACTCTTGCGATGCACATCATTTCACCAGAGAGCCTTTTGGACTGACCTTGAACATTTTTGTTGATATTTTTTTCACATGCATAAAGCCGCATTTTATCAATTTCATAAAAAAAGAAATACAGGTCTTCATTTGTTTGAAACATGTGTATCCTATCGACTTCCTTTATTATTGTGCTGTCCAGACAACCAAAATAAGTTTTAAAAGCGTTAAATGTCTGCAGCCGAATTGTGGCGAAATCGAGAGTTCGTTTCTTATTTACATGCGTTGATTACTTATAAAAATATCATATTGTTTCTAATTCAAAGTCGGATAACAAGAACTTCTACGCTTGTAAGATGAGCACAACAGCGTTATCCAGAGCTTCAACAATCAACGATTCAGTACTATGTAGCATATATGTAAGCTAACTCGATTTTATTTAAATTCCTGATATTTCATGTTACTAAAAAATGGCGGCCATTAATACTTTCGTTATTCTTACGAAATATTTCTTGGTTGTTTACTTTCTATTCTTTTGTATGTTAGCATAATATTTGAGTGAAAGAAACCTTTAGCAAAAAGAAGTTTTAAATTTAGGAGAAAAATATACTTATTTTTGGGACGGGCGAATTGTAATAGTAGTTATCAAGGAAAGTAACTGCTTCCAGAGTTCGAATTTCATTATCTCGTACTGTCCATGAATTTCAAAAGATGTATTTTAATCGTAAAATTCTTTATATGTTCGTTTATTTAGTAAGATTCGCTACATTAGTTTCACATCTGGTATACCCGTTCCTATGCATAAAAAATAATTTGTAAAGCGATTGTGGGATGTGCTTCGACCCACAAATAGTTTTGTGACGAAGCGAATAAATGGGGTTACGCCATGTGGGGCCTGAAAAAAAATCTGCGTGTCTGTTTCACGAAATATCTCATCTTCTGTCGCCAAACATTCTAATTATCGTTATCAAAGAAGAAAATTGATGAAGTATGTTTTGATATTTATATACTTTACAGTTATTTGATATATAGTTCTTGTTTACAGCATACCCTTTAGCGTTTCTACTTATAACTAAGACTTTCTTGTCAGTGATAAATGATATGCATAAGGCTTATAATAGAAAATACCTGTACATTTAATCCATTTTGTAGGTACCTCATTTGTCAGATAGTCCACTTCAAGATGAAACAACTGAAATTTACTATAGTTCTCATTGGGCAAGATCTTCAAATTTAATGGATGACTTCAAAAATTATGGTAATTTAATATCATTTTTATGAATCTAAGTCAGTGCAGGAAAACTCTAAAGGTCTGTAAATCTTTTATGTTCATCTTGAAAATTATAGAGCCTTACCTGTGAGAATGAATACTAGTAATCATAATTGTTATGTAGTTATCAAAAGAATAAAGATATTTTAGTACCGTGATGAAAACAGTGAGTATGGATATTTCCATAATATTTAAGCTGAAATGTTACCTCATGTGTTAACAAGGTTTACTATTTGGCGGCTGTGACCTAGTTTTTTCAATAGGAGATGACTCATGTTCAATGTCGTACGAGAAATTACTAGGACAAACATCCTTATCAAGTTTGATGACAATAAAGGCAAAAATGAAACCACTAGAGTGTTAACCAACTAAAGGTACACGGGCGACGGACATGCAACGGTCATAAAAGCTAAAAGAAAATCTGGCTTCATAATAACCAAGTATGGAGCTGAGGAAAGAGTAATCTTACATTTTCGTGACAACTGCATTAATTGACGATGGTGCCTTAATTCGCCTAAATTGGCACATAGCACAAAACCTCCTACTCACCTTTGCCAAAGATACAAGTTCAAAATGCACAATTTACAAGCCTCAAGGGGATTAAGTAGAATGTCAAGTGCATCAAATACTCAAGCTTATCGATGATCTCTACTTCCGTATAAGACACGCAACACAACCATAATATAAAGTTGAGAAATATATACCTGAGCGCGCACCCTGGTTTGGTTGTTAGTGGTAGAGGTTAATCAATTGTTTTTCAAAAACAAAATATGAAAAAAAGATCTTGTAAATTCACACGTCACAGATGATACTCTCCAAACATTCGTTACGGTAGTATAAAGCGTCTTGAATGACAAACCTTTGACACACATTCTGGGAGAGGCAGCCAAGCCAGATCCGCTTACATCAGCTCATTTGTTTTACAACAGCCAATATATTACACTTGATTTTTTCATTATGCCAGTAACACATTTCTACAGAAAATAACAATTAATTAAGAAAGGTCGTTTACGTAGTTCTTATACATGACGTAACCCTGATATCGAAGAAAAAATCAGGGCCTATATAACAACTGAAGAAAAAGGATTGACACGAGCGACCATTGAACGTACCTTAAATGTTCACACTATGGGGGCAATTTTGAAGCTAAATCATTTACAGTGACAGCTTCCAAATTTTGCGCTTAGATAAATGTCACAAAGACGTCCTTTTTTGACAAAATTCTGTCAATGGCAGCCGAACCAGAACAATTTAAACCAGCTCAACTGGTGTAAAACAAATCTACATTAACACGAGAGCGTTGTAACAGAGCGTACCTGATCAAAACCAATGTCGAAGATACAAACCTGAGCTCATTGGCCACTTCCGGATAAGATAGCGGCACGATTATTTGGCGTATTATGTCAATAACACAATACTACAGGACTCAGCAACCAATTGAAAAAGGTCGGTGACGTGGAACTTTTTCATAATGTAACCCCTATATTATTTGCATTTTCCAATAAAAGGACATTAGCATTTGTAACACGATGCAAAATAGTTGATCTTTTTTGTCCAATGACGAGTCTTTACACAGACATAATATTATTAAAGTGTGGCAAAGTTAACATAAGTAGTGTCGAAAACTAACTACATGCTGAAAGCCGTGTTCTCTCTAAACATGTATCTTTCATCGAAATAAAAGGTACAAATTATGTTGGTATTTAAGTTTAAAACTATTATTGACACTGATTTGCAACGGAGAGCCTGTAAACAGTGCAGGGCACATTTAAAATGGTAAGTGAAAATTGATAAAAGTCCCTAGCTAAGCCATTTTTGAGCAATGTCTTTTGAACAACGTATACTGTTTTCCCTAAATTGAAATGGACATAGTTTTTGAGATATATTACGTTAGAATAGAAAAGTGAACTTCAGTAAACGGCTTTACAAAGCTGCATTGGTACAAGGCTACCATTTTAACATTATGTATAACCGAAAATAAAATAAAAATATTTCTTATTTTCCGTTGGCATATTCAAATGTGTTTTGCTAAATTAATGAAAAATATAAGATTGAAATTACTTGTCATTTTCTACGCTACAGAATCGTGCATATATTTCTTAAATATCGCATATACTTCTTCCTAGACTTTCTTTTCCAGGTTACATTTGATACTCCTTTATTAAGGAATTGGATAAAGAAACTTGACCCAGAAATGGTTGTGTTAAAAGTCATAGGAGGATATATCATTAAGTAATAATCAAATGATTTGAATTTGTTTTAAAATGTAGTTTAAGACCGATGAGTGTATATTTAGGTAGAAATTTGATTGATTCTCAAAATTCAATATTTTAGTGACGGTTTACAATTGTACAATGTTGGCCAAAGACTGTAGTTATTGCAAAGCACTAAATAAAACACGATTTCATTGTGACTGGTGCACCAACACAAACAAGTGCGAATATAAAGATCAAAACTGCTCATCGACAGCATGCCCGGCACCTACTATAACAAAAGTAAGTTTCATTTTAAAATTAAATAAATAAATACATGTAAATAAATTAGTTTAGAAAAAAACATTTGAACGTTGATATCTTTTTTTCAATATTTCCAGTTCGTTGAGTAAATTACTCAATGTTATTTGTCCGTTATTTGTATAAAATCTTTTGCAACTAAAGACTTATTATATATACTCCAACTTATTTCAAAAATGTAAATTAGTTTATGTTAGCTGCCAGTTTATGAATGGTAAAAAGACGCGTATCCGGTTAAATCCCAAGGGATCTCCCATCTTCCAGAATTCTAGAATTTGTATCAATTTACATATATTTTAGTCGTTTTTGACTTTTTCATTTAGATGGCGAATTAAATTATAATTAATAGTTATTGAATGTTCTATAAAAAACTATAAATGATTGTATATTGTATTGATGCTGTTAAAGGTTATTCCAAGGGACGGTCATGTAGAGGGGGGAACAACAATTGCTGTTTATGGATTTAATCTGGGATTAAGCCCGTTTGATATTAACAGCGTCGAAATTGCCGAAATTCCTTGTGAGATAAATTATAATATGTCACAATCAAATGACACTCACAACGGAATTTTCGAATTAAAAGTTCCAAATCGGTAAGACAACTACTAGTGGGGCGGGAAATAAGGTCTCTGCTGTCAAAATAGTGCACATTGTGATACAAGCATGAAACTTTCAGGAAATTATCTTTAGACCATGTAGATTTCAAAAGTGAAGTGGGCCCAAAAATATCTCTGCTCATTCAAGATGGCCGCCATTTTCAAGATGGCCGCCATATAAATTTGATATACATAATAGATCATTCATTCCAATTTTTTGTACAGACCTGAAACTTACACCAAAGCATGCATATAGTTTCCCCTTTTCAAAAAATTAAATCTTTAAGCAATTTCTTTTGCATATTTCTTCAGAATCCAAGATGGCGTCCAATATGGCTGCCAATTTTAATAAAAACTGATATTTCTCTTTTGTAGAATAATTTTTTGCACACGGTATGCGTATTTCCATATAAAATTGTGAAATATATTAGAAAAAATATCAAATTTTAGGTTAACCACATTGTTAGTCATGTTTTTAGTTTTTTGTACAAAAAAAATCTTTAAAAAAATCAAAGAAAAAGTGCCATTTTTTTCATTTTTCTCTAACATGGTTTTCTAGGTCTATGTACAAAATTCCAAAAGTTACATAGTTTCTTAAAGTGTATTTGATATTCAATCAACACTATGTTTTATTGTATAATTGTAACAAAAACAAACAAAAATGTGAAGGTTTTATACTTATTAAAATTGGGTGGGGTAAATTTATCATACAATTGTAGTACAAAATAACGTTTTTTAAGAATTCTTATGCAAATATTCACTGTAAAAGTATTTTATTGTATTAAGGTATTTTTGTTTTCCTTCAGGTCTAGAGGGTGTACTAAAATATCAATAAATGCAATCATATGTATACATTCAGTTATTAAATGTGTTTTCATGACATAAGTTGTTTCAATAGTCAATAGTCATAATATAACTTGATAATTGTACAGAAGGAAGACTGATAAAATCATGCCTGGACCTTAGTGAAATGTTGTCTATTTATGAATACAATTATTTCCTGCACAATTTAGTCTTGTCTTGCTAAAAGCTTGTAACAGAATGATTCAAAGTTATATTTACTTGCACATCATTGTAACCAAGTATAATTGAATAAGTACCGTCCATTTCTAATAACTTATGTAGACATGATATTTTCAAAAGAAACAAAAATTTAGGCGACTGATCATCTTATTATCTGATGACTAGGTGTGCTAAAATAGGTATCAATAAAACCGCTTGACCCACATAACAAACATAGCTTATACTTTGGAATACAAACTAAATGTGTTGCTCCTACTTTATTTTTCCCATAAAACAAGAGAGCATTGTTGACCCTAGATCACGCGCCTAAGACCCACTGCTGGAAAAGGTCTATAATTCTTTTATACTGAAAAATGCCAAAATCATATAAGGAGTATCTTTTTTCACCAGTCATGATTTAAAGAATCATGTCCAATAACTAGGCTCTCAGAACTACAAGAAGACTCATATAACTATATTCCAATAAGAGTCCATGTAAACTAAGTGATTTTGACCCTATGCCAATAGTTTATAATCTTTATATAGCATCACAATGTTATGATATACAATATTTTCTCTTCTCTGTGCACATAGTTATGGAGTAGAATTTTAATATATAAGTCAATGTAAACTAAGTGACAGGGAAAGCCATTTTGGACTGCAGGAACATGATTTAAAGGCCCTAGCGAGGAACACAGTTTTTAAAGACTTGTGTAGGGAATCGCATTGAAGTTGTTTTGTTGTTGATGTTATTAAAAAAATCAACAAACAAACAAACTGTAATGCCTAGAGCTTGGATAGTCAAAATATAACCTTGCCAAGTAAAGAAGACCTCTTTAAAAGTTACATAAAACACTTTTGTATCATTAAGTGTATACATGCAATAAAAAAAATCTTCTCAAAAATCAAAATGCATAGAGCACTGGTACTAAGCTGGCATGTAGCACCACCTTGGGTCATTATTAACACATTTAATGAATCATGCTCATAGAGCCACCTGGGTTCACAGTCTTGTATAGGAAAACACATTAAAACATCAAGTGTTAAACAACAATGACTTTAACTAAGATATTTGGGATGTAGACTGATATAACATGCATAAATTTGTATGATGCTACTGCAGTTTAAAATAGTTTTGCAATGGTATCACTTAATTTACAAAGACTACTGTAATAAATCTATTTTCTCTTAACCTACACTATCCGACGCATATACATTAATCATGTATCATCATAATTATGTTATAATAATGATATATCATGGACAACATGGTCCAAATTTACCAAACACAAAAGGTCACTAAGTTTATATGGACTCGGATTCAATTATGACACAAATCATGTGTTTTATGACATAATTGACACTCCCAAAATGATCTTGTTACCTTTTTTCCAACAATGATCTTAGTTGAGTGATCCAGGGTCATCATTACCCTCTTATTGAAAGAAAAAAAAGATATGATTACTTTAGGAAATACTAGACTAAGTATACTTAGTTTGTATCTTAACTTTTCAAAAAGTTGCATGCAGGCCAGGCCATATCATTGATATATATGTTTCACATCACATACATTTTGTTGGCTTTTAAGCTATGTTTATATTATAAATATAAAATTGTGGAGGAGTCAAAAATATGCGTTTATAGACTACCTTTATACCTTACATTCAAGTACATGTTTGCTATTTTAAGCACGTTTAGTTGATTTATTGTCTTCTTATATGTCATTACGATTAACAATTAATATATGATATCAAATATATTGAAACAAGAATTATCATGCAACCAAATTTAATAACTGAATGTATACACACGATTGTATGTGCATTTCTTGCTCACCCACCAAATGGCCCGAAGGAAGACAAAAATACTTGCATCCAATAAAAAGTACCTTTTAAGTTGGAACATTTGCATAAGAATTCATAGAAAAGTAAAAAGGCAAAGAAATAGAATGAACTTAGCTATGTAGATTTTCTGTTGTTTTTTCTTTCACAATTATCATATAGAATTACCCCACCCACTTTCACAAAATATAAAAACCTACAAATTTAATGCTTTTCTTACATTCTTTACAATAAACACATGATATTAATGGAATGTCAAATACAGTTTAAGATATAAAGTAACTTTTTTAACGTTGTACATTACTTACAAAAATCAAATTTGAAAAATATGAAAGAAATGGAATTTTTTCTTGATCTTTTTTAAAGATATTTTTAGACAACAACATTTTAAATGTTTACTTTCATTGAGATTTACATATAATTTGATTATCTCTGATATGTTTAAACACTTTTTTATCATAATAAACATAATTTGTGCAACAAATTATACTATAAAAATGATATAGTAGTTTTGCACAAAATCGACGGCCATATTGGACGCCATCTTGGATTTGGAAGAAGTATGAAAGAAAAATTTTGTGAGATTTAAATTTTTGAAAAGGAGAAATTATATGCATGCTTTTGGTGTGAGTTAAAGGTCTGTACAAAAAAATGGAATGAATAAGCTAGAATGTACTCAAATTTATATGGCGGCCATTTTGAAAATGGCGGCCATCTTGAATAAGCAGAGATATTTTTGGGCCCACTTCACTTTTGAAATCTACATGGTCTAAAGATGATTTCCTGAAAGTTTCATGCTTGTATCACAATTTGCACTATTTTCTCAATTTCCCGCCCCACTATACAGTTTTATTTCTATTTTTCAAAGCTGCATTTTATAAATGTGTTTTATAATTTTATGTATCATTAAGTGCTAAGCATGGCCGTACTCTCCCTTGCGCCCTGTCTTGTTTTTGTTAAGGACCCTCCTGGGCTGCTTGCCACTAGGTCTTGTTGGTGGGTCGTGTGGTTTGCGTAGAACGCCGCCTTTCCTTGTTGAGTTCGTTTATCATATTTTACTTAATTAAAATTTAACCACATCTGTTTAAGAACAGCAAAAGTCTACATAGTCCCTACCCTAAAGATTAAGCATTCTTTTCCCCCATAAACTTTTAAACAAAATTAGCGAAATCTGATCAAATATAATTAAGAAATTATGATTAAATAAAGGAAAAACCCAGCACTAACGTTCGTATCAGGATTTCAACAAGCTAATGAATAATATATTTAGATCATGCATGCATTCACTTTCCATTACTCTTGCACAACTAGGTATTGGTGATAATCACCAGTGATCCAGAAAATTTAAAGGAAATATTGGGTAAGCAATGAATAAGATTTCAGGAGACAATGCAAATATATAGGAAAATACAGGAAAGGGCCATAACTTTGGAACAACATATTGGTATTGTTAATCGATAAAAGTTTCAATATTGAAAAATGCCTAACATTAAATTTTTCCGATACATTCAGTTCAATATCATCAAGTGTCATCAGTTACATATACATTAATCGATGATTGGATTACAGTAATACCTAAGCGATATACAACAAATGTATTGGCCGTTACGCATTGTATATATCAATAGATAATAAGAGTTTTTAAATTTTTGTGCAATAGATACATACTGACAATATTTTACAATTCTACAGAAAAAATATGAATTAAGTTTATCTGACATTTATAGGTAGGAATCACAAACGACACACACACACACACACACACACGCACACGCACACGCACACACACGCGCGCGCGCGCGCACACACACACACACAAAACAAATAAGTCAAAAAAAAAATAATAATTAATTACGCAAAATCAATTTTGATTTGAGTTCTATGATTTTTATTTATGTTATAAAATTTTATAGATGTAAAAAAAAGTTTGATTTTATAAATTTAATATACTTTACCGTACACTGACTTTGAAGTTTTCTTTCATCGCCATTAAACATCATACACCTGGCCCAGTGTTTACAAAGAAAAGATAAGGATCAGAATCAGATTATCCTGATTTTATTTTCATTGTTTTATAAAACTAAAACTGATCGTATTATGCTAGAATTAAATGGTACACATTCTAAATATAAATAATTGCTTCTTTGCAAAGAAACCAGCCTATTTTGGGATAAAATCAACAAATAACAAAACAAATACAAAAATAATTGGATCAAAATAAGGATCAATTTTAGGATCAAGAACAAAATTTGAATCAACTGTAAAATGCCCATATCTTGTAAAAATAACAATAAATTTATTCTTAAATTTCATAAACATGCTATTTCAGGTCCGGTCTTATCAATTGAATACTGAATAATATATGAGGATAAATAATGCAGAATATTTGAGTTTTTTAATTTGATCCTGATTTTGATTCGGATCCTTAAATCTTTGTGAACACAGTGCCAGGGATGTACGTGTGATTACTGTCAATAAAAGTGGCTGCGAAAATGTCATGACAACACGTGTTTGCATGAAAATAATCAAGAAAGGTAATCTTCATGGCTATACAATGTCAATGTTGTTGAACTGGGATACTATATTTTGAAATACTTGTATATGCTTTCTCTGTTTTAAAAAAATCAACCAAAACAAATTTCGTTTTCATAATATACGTCTACAAACTGCAAATTCAATTTAAACGCTACATTTAATATTTTTACTTTCATTTCCTCTCGCTCACACTCGTCCGATTAAATCACTTACGTATTGTTCTCTGTGAGCGAAAGGAAAATCTCTGAACTTGTATACAGTATAGAAATTATACAAATAATTTGATATTAAATCATCATAATCATTATTTTGGATCAAAAATCAAACATTCATGAAAAATACGCATACAAACTGCAAAATTATTATAAATTTCAATTAAAATACTATATTTAATATTTTATAAGTCACTTTCGTATTTTTCAGTGTGAGCGAAAGGAAGATCTCTGAACCTGAATATAAAAATCATGCAAATAAATGGGGTAAAAATCATCATATAAATGATTATTTTTGACAAGAAATATTATTATTTTCTGATAATATACGTCTACAAACTGCATTATTAGCATAAACTCCAATTTAAAAGCTTTTTTATTTTTTGATATCTTATAAGTCACTTTCGTATTTTTCAATTTGAGGGAAAGGAAGATATTGAAATTATGCAAATGAATGGCGATTAAATCAATATTATGATTATTTTTGATAAAAATTATAATTAGTTTCTAATATTAAGCGTCTGCAAACTGCAATTTTATTGTAAAATTCTATTAAAACGCTATAATTCGTATTTTCGTACTTTCGTACTTTCGCTCACTTTCATCAAAAGAGTCTCTTTCGTATTTGAAGCAAACCTCGATGCGTGTGTAAACCACGTGGTGTAAATAACGGATTTTATTGGATATTGTTTTCCTTTAGCGTAAAACTTTAGTCACGTGTCTAAATAAAAACATTTCTTTTTCTTTTTAAATCATTTCATCACGTTTTTTTTTCAAATAAATATTATAACTTAATTATATACTGATATTCGCTCAAGTTAAAAAGGACAATTCTCGCAATACTCAATTACACGAGATTAGGCCAAAACCAAATGATCTTGTGGTTCTAGTGACCTGACCGACCCTGTATTTCCGCAGCTAACCTGGAACATTTTTTTTGCAAAAGTGGAGTATCCTATAGTGTAACTATCTGACATATAGTTAATTTAAAAAACAAATACTAATAGAAAAAATGTTTTTCCGACCTACCTATCCTATTATTTTTCTTCATGTTACCAAATCCTCAAGATCATTTTGTTTTGGCTTTATGATGTCAAACACACAGGCCAATTTTCCAATGGATTTTTTATCTTATGTTTACCATATCACGCACATCGAGGCCGGAGTGTAATAATGCGTAAATGTATCGTTATACAGTCGAGACTGCGTTTGCGACCCCCTGATTTCAACGACTCCCTTTCTTATCCAACCTTGTTTCAGTCCTCCCAACGTATTTCCCATATAAATGGTCTGCATTATACGCCCCCCATCATATGTGACAAGTTACCCTAATTGCTTTGTCTAATTAAAACTCTTTTCACATTTTTAATTGTCCGTTAATCAGACAAGTAATATCGGTTTTAACACCCAAAAGTTCCAAAATAATAAAGTCCAATTATATATAATCCAGTAGTCGGTCTTCAAAGACACTCTAAACAACTCTGCCTCAATCAAACTGTTTACATGTACGTCTACTACATACTGCCAAATATGTATGCATGATGCAATCGATGTGTGGTGTAATGTACATTGACCTGAGCAAAGTGTCAGATTTTTTTATGAAGTGCCAATGGAAGATTTTTTTAGACAGCATTTTTTTTCAAATTTACCTTTCTATGGCTGCATGAATACTACGAAAAAATTTGTAAATACTAGACCTTTCATTTAAAGAGAAACAACTTTAGATATGCATGTTTTTTAAAGTATGATCTTTATTTAAAAGATTTGAATGCATCAAATTCAAGTTTATTTTGCGCCATAATGATTCAATATAAATCTAATACAAAAAAAGAAATGCGATTATATTTTTGTGCAAGAATTCTTATTCTATATTCTTTCATCAAACTTTTAAAGTACCTGTGTAGATTTTTAATTGGTTAGATGTTATTCCTTCGCACAGTTATGTATGTTAAGTCACAGTAGTATATAGATGGTACTCTTTTAGACTCTCTGTCATATGTGACCTTTTTCTGCAGATTCCTTGGAAAGTCACATATGACTGTCTCAACTGTATTAGGAAAAATATCCAAACTTCTACTGAAGACATATTTGTTGATTTCCTGTTGATGTACGTAGAACCAAAAGGCGGAGTTTCTCATACAATTTCATCATAGAAATTGTTCTTTTGATTTCGCAACGTTAATGTTGCAGACGTGTACTCTTATGTAAATCATTTTTTAGTCCTGATAACAAAAAAAGGAACTATATTTGATAGGAGACTTTGTTTATTAATGAAATGTTGTTACTTTTGTTTTAATGTTTGTAAAATGCATCTATAACCTTTTCAAACTTTAACGGTTTGCTTTCTATTATTTATTGCATCTATTATTTGTCAGCTAAATATACTATTAAACTGGATGTATTCAAAGCCTCAGGGTAGCTGTTTTATTTTAATTCTGGAAAAAGATACTTTTCAGAATAATATGTGTGTCTGGATCCTCACAAAACGAGATATCAGGAATCGTCAGTATATCAGTAAATGGACTTCGTTCCAGTTCAGATTTCATATTCTTTTACCGAGTATGTATTCTTTATGTGCTATAATGTTATGTCTTATTTATATTAATGAAAACATGTCATTATTATCAAACCCTTCTGTTAAGTAATGAGTTAAGTGATTGATACGTGTTTTAATATACACCTCGAAATAAGTAAAGCACGAACAGCAATTTAAAATTGGTTGTGATTGAAAGCAATTAATTGAGCTAAGAAATAGAAATGAGTAGCAATACATATTGAGTGATCATTAACCAGTATTTTTTTTAGTTTAATTCTTAAACAAATAACTGAAGCATATGCAAATGTGTTGTTTTTACGAAAATGTAAGTGTTTATTAGTATGGTGTTGGAGCGTTGACAAAACATTAACTGGTGGATAATTTTGGTAAATGTTGACGATAACGTAACCAAAAATGATATTTTGTAGCCAAATTTGTAATAACCTGTGTAAGCGCCACGTGCCCAGATAGCCTCAACCCTTCTCCTCATAGTACAAGTAAGGCGTCTAATGCGATTTTGAGCTATTCTTTGCCGTTCTTGTTGCAAAGCATGTTTAGTTGTGGCAGATTGATTACATGTGGTTCGTACCATTGCCCAAATAAAATTTAAAATTTGAGTTGTGGTTATATCAAATTTGAGGCAAAATGCCGTAAGTGCTTAACTTATTTCCAGGTGTATAATTTGTTTTTATGATCTTTATCAGCAGCAACAAAATCACTACATATACTCATCTGAAGATAATGTGCTCAAGGGTCAGTTTTTGTTATTTCTTGTTATCATTCAGCAATTGTTTCAATATCTAATCGGTATAATTGGCCTGGTGTACATGTTACCCATACATGTTACCCATACATCATGGTTGTTGGAGCAAAATAAGCCAGTATCGATAGTCACATTAACATAGACATGTAAAATATATTCAATATTAAGCATTTTTGGCATCTGCCAAACGGCATAGAGCATGCATCATGAGACCATATGTGTTTACTGGGCTGACATCGTCTAAAAAAGTCAATCATTTAGTTAAACGACCATCCAGGGCTTAGATATTTGATAATTGTTATGAAGCATCACTTATAAAGATATTCATGTAAGAAACTAGGTGTAATAGATATACAATATTGGATTTGGCCTAGTTTGTCCTTTACAATCAAATATGCAAAAAATACCACTACACGAGACAAAATTTACCGCGTCTTGATTTTATAGAATTAAAATGCTCTGCACTCCTCCGGAATGTTAAATGCTAAGTGTAGAGTATATATTGGCTTGTAGATAGTATGTGCATATAACGCAATCCATGCCATAGTGTGAAGAACTGACCACTGATGTCATAGGTATGAAGCATATTTCCGTAGGACTTAATTTGTGGTATAGTGAAGTAAAGCACAACTGTTTTACATTTTAATACTACAAGTGTACAATGTCTACTCTAGTCAAAACCAAATTGGAACTATAAACTGACCAACTGCACCCTTCAATCCGTCGTTATACATGACAGCTTCCAACCTAGAGCTTACAAAATACGTATACTCTCAAATATATTATCAATCATTCTGACATAAGTATGAACTTTGAATACTTTCATATATATGAATTGCAAAAAATAAATAAAAGCCTAAAAGTATGTATACATGTCGACTTATCATTTATATAAATATGATGTACAAAAAACATTTATCTCAATAATACAACGCCTTTTATTAAAATTATTCAATTTAATGATGGTACTCAAGTTATAAATGATTGCTCTTGAGTCATTAATGCTGCAAAAATATCTCTGGAATAAAATATTCATGCAACATTTTGATTTAAAAGTTTACATTTCTGGTATGTATTTTGTTTAACTGGTAATTTTTAAAATTGTACAAAAGCTTAGTCAAGTCTTGGGCATAGTGTCCTATATAATTCTACATTTTCATATCCTCCGGTGACCAATATAGTAAGATAGTATACTGACTTCTGTCTGATGATTTATGTCTCTGTATATAAGATATGGTTTACTTACATTTTCTTCTTTTGTGTACTATAAAAGTAATCAAATTGTTGTAATGCACTCCAATGTTATATAACCCTGTAGATTCCAGTTGTGACGGGCATTGTACCAAATTATGGACCGAAAGCAGGTGGGACTCGCATTACTCTATTTGGCGAGAATATTGGAATTGGAAACAGGAATGTAAATGTAAAGCTTGACAATTTCCGATGCTTAAGACCAGAAGTGAGACCCAAACTTTCATTTGAAAATATGTAAGTTAAATGTAAATGTAAAAATAAGAAATTAGTAACAAACCTTTTTCATTTTTATCTAGTATCCGCCATTTGATGATTTTAAAAGATACCTATTCATGATACCATTCAGTCATTATAAAATAATCTCTCCACATATTATATTAGCCGAACAATGTCAGTTTAAAGTCTTAACGAAATGATGCGTATTTATCCAGATTAAAAAATTGTCAATTGTCAAACTTATGTATCGGTCTTCCAAACTCTTTGTTCGAATAGCCTGGAATGAATTAATTCAGGACTTCAACAAAAATCGATAATTTGTGGCAATCGTTGATTCTTGCTTTTATTTAAACAGCAGGATCAGGGGTTAAACGTATCTCCACATTTCGTTACCTATTAACTTCACACAAAAAACACGATAGCGAGACTTGTAAAACTAATTTAACAAGAGGGCCATGATGGACCTGAGGTCGCTCACCTGTATATAGGCCCCCGGAGCGGGGCCAGTTTAAACCCCAGGGCTTTTATTTGAACAAACTTGTAAGATACCCATTAGAAGATGTTTCATGATGTTAAGTTTTTATTACACACATATAATGAAAAACAATGACCTCCCCCCTTTGGCAGGGCCAATTTTAACCCAAGGGCTTTTATTTGAACAAACTTGGTAGACACCCACAAGAAGATGTTTCGTGCTTAACAATCTAACCTATAGCTCATTGGGTTTTTTAAAAGAAGATTTTTAAGTTTTTACTATACAAATATAGTTAAAAACAATGACACCTCTGGGGCGGGCCAGTTTTAACCCCAGGGCTTTTATTTGAACAAACTTTGTAGACACTTACTAGTAGATGTTTCATGCTTAATATCTAAACTCTATCTATTTGGGTTTTTTCAAAGCAGATTTTTAAGTTTTTGCTATACACACATAAGGAAAATCAATGACCCCGGGGCAGTGGCCAATTTTGACCCCAGGGCTTTTATTTAAACAAACTTCGTAGACACCCATTAGAAGATGTTTCATGCTAAATATCATAGCTCTAGCTCTTTGGGTTCTTTAAAAGAAGATTTTATTTAAGTTTTTACTATATGCCTATAGGGAAAATCAATGACCCCTGGGGCGGGACCAATTTTGACCCAAGGGCTTTTATTTAAACAAACCTGGTAGACACTTATTAGAAGATGTTTCATGCTAAATATCTTAGCTCTAGCTCTATGTGTTCTTTGAAAGAAGATTTGTTTAAGTTTTTACTATATGCATATAGGGAAAATCAATGACCCCCTGGGGCGGGGCCAATTTTGATTCCAGGGCTTTCATTTGAACAAACTTGGTAGACACTCACTAGAAAATGTTTCATGCCAAATATCAAAACTCTAGCTCTTCGGGTTTTTTAAAAGAAGATATTTAAAGTTTTTCTTTCGGTTGCCATGGCAACCAGAGTTCTGCAAGGAATTAAATTCTTTGAACAATTTTTAAAGGTGACCACCAAAGGAACATTCCTGTGAAGTTTGGATGAAATTGGCTTAGTGGTTAATGAGGAGATGTCATTTAAAGTAAAAGTTTACGGACGGACGGACGACGGACGGACGCCGGACGAAAAGCGATCACAAAAGCTCACCCTGTCACTTTGTGACAGGTGAGCTGAAAAGCCGGCAACAGAAAAGTGTATATTTCATAGATTGCATAGTTATTGGATTTGTGATTTGTCCTTGCAATGTCATATATCTGCTGCTTATCCATTTTTTCCACATTTGTTTTTCAGAACACTAACAAACTTTACAATTGTTTGCACGACTGCTGGTATACATTACAGTATTTCAATGGATGTCTATGTCGAGATCGATGGCAGAGAAATTAAAACACCCTATCCATTTACATTGGTTGACAATCCGATTATACAACCATTTTCCCCCAAAATGGCATTCTTAAGGTATTTCACGCTTCTCAATAAACGGTATCTGGATGTATAGCCTTATCTGTTTTCCGAAAGAAATGTACACTTGCAAATTCTGATTGTTTGGAACTGTTTTCAAAAATTTGTTACAAGATTTATAAAGCAAACAATTTTTTTCTACACTGAGTCTAAGTATAAAAAAATTGTTTTGTTTTATCATGTAACGATAAAGCCTAGTAATATTTTGCGAATATGAATGAAACGAAATGGAACGAGGAGCACCATGTAGGGGAGTTTAAACATCAAATTTAATCATAATTATAGTAAATTCTATGATTTATGTAGAAAACATTAAGTATAACTCTGTCCTAGTCATGTTGCGTTCCGTTATGAACCATTATCCACACAGGTAATTTGCGAAACGAACAAATAATGTTTTAAAGGAATTAAATGTATCGGTGCAAAGGAACAAACCCATTCCATTATTGATTGTGCACTGTATGTAAACCATGCTTATCATCATCCGAATATGACGACATGATTTAGTGCACTGATTGAATACACAGGTAGATATTAAAATAAAACATGTAAGTTTTTTTTTGAAATTTGATTTTAGCAAACGAATAATCGTCGATTAAGTATTGTTATATGATAAATAAACTTACTTTGACTTTGTTTCCAGATTTTTATACTTCACAACACAGGTCGAGTGTCGTGTGGCAGCTGTAAAATGTTGCCCCGTACTTCACTTAAGTGTTATAATATTTTTCGGGTCCTTCGGGATCATTGATGCTAAAAACTAAGAACTGCTCAAGCCGTAGCTAGGGGCATGAGGGATGTTGCACTTATTCATTATCCCTCATGTCTCATGTAAAGATTCAATCAAACCGAGTCTGCAGTTTTCATGTATATGTAATTTTGTTGTGATTTATATTTCTGAGGGATCACATTGTTTCCAGATTATTAAACTCGTTATATTACTTGTCAGAATATTGATTTATATGCACGGAATCACCATTTCTAAAGGTTGTTTTTTTCGAGCACGTAATGGTTTGTTACAAGTATGATTTTAGTTTACCGCTAGATAACAGTGTAGGTATTCTGATAATGAGCATCCATTAAATCTAATGTTAGATCCTAGTTTCTTTTTTGAACTAAGTAAAATACAGAATATCAACAGAATATCCATTTTGAACTAAATTGTCTTTGGTCACAGAGTATCCATTTTGATATGAAGTTGATAACATGTCTTATTTTCTCATTTTCTCAAGAAGATTTTTTGTGTTCACAATTTGTCCGGCATGCATCGTATGCCAGTCATCCGTGCGTCCGTGCGTCCGTCGTCAATTTTTTATACAAGTGACTTCTCCTCAGAAAACATTGGGCCAAATTTGATGAAATTTCCGCATGTAGCTCTTTTGAAATTGTTCAAATGGTTCTGCCTAATTGGACATCTTGGTCAGGAGGGCAAACATAGATTTTTTAAAGAGATCTTTAAAAATATTCTTCTCTAAAAGTGCATGGCATAGAGCTTAGATATTTTGTGTGTAGCACCATCTCATGAAACTCTACAAAAATTGTCCAAATTGTAGCAATGGGGGTCATAATTGGCCCGCCATAGGGGGATCATTGATTTTCCTTATATGAATAAAGTAAAAATTCAAAAAAAATCACTGAATGTACAAGGCCTAAATCTTGGATGTTTTGTGTGTAGTACCATCTCATGAAACTATATGATTTTTTTCTTCAAATTATAGCCCAGGGGTCAAAATTAGCCTCGCCGAAGGGTTTCATTGATATTCATTATATGTATATAGTAAAAACTTTTCAAAAAATGATCTGCTCTGTTTCAATAAAGGCTAGGGGCTTGAAAATGGCAAAAATATTTTGTAGTGGATCTCTGCCAACACTGTTAAAATTATAGTCCTGGGGGCAATATTGGCCCTGGTACGCCCCGGATGTCATTGAATTTCATTATGTTATATGATAAAAACTTAAAAACTCTTCTTCTCTGTAAGTACAAGTCCTAGTGCTTAGGTATTTTGTGTTTAGCATCATCTAATGATATTCTACAAAAAATTATAGCCCTAGGGTCAAAATTGACCTCGCCCAAGTGGGTCATTGATTTTTCTTATGTGTATATAGTTAAAACTTTGAAAATCATCTGTACTGTTTTGACAAAGACTAGATGTTAGATATTTCGCATGAAACCTTTTGAAGTAGGCCGCTACCAAGATTGTTAAAGTTATAGAACTTGGTTCAAAATTAGCCCCGCGCCGGGGCTCATTGATTTACTATTATGTAGTACATATATTACAATTTAAAAAACTCTTTATTTCCTGAAGATATAAGGCCTAGGTAAATGATATCATCTATATATCCTCTAACGAAGTTGTTCTATAGGGTCAAAAGTGGCCCTACCCTGGGGGCAAAAGGTTTCGATTTAATATGTAAAAACACTGTAGAGACTACTGTTTCAGTCCAAATATCTGGAAATAGGTGGGAATGGTTGTGCTAATAATTTCAAGGGCAGTTTCAAATATAGATTGTCTGGGATCAAAAACTAGGTCACACAGCCCAAATATGGAAAAGCCTCGTTTACACTTCAGAGGCAACTGTTTTGGTTATATCCGGGAAATTTGTTAGAATGATTTTTAGCTCAATTGGAATATGGATCATCTTGGGTCCATAAAGCCCAAATATTGAAAAACCTAGTTAACACTTTCGAGGCTACTGTTTTGGTCTAAATATCCTAGAAATTCGTCAGGAGGTATTTTCTATGGTTTCTAGCTCACGTTTAAATATAGTTCATCGCTGGTCAAAAACAAAGTTACACAACATCCTTGTTAACACAATATGGGATACTGTTAAGGTCAAAATATTCTGGAAATTAGTCAAACAGGTTGTTGAAATGGTTTCTATGTCATGTTTCAATACTGGTCACATTGGGTCAAAAACGAGATCACACAACACAAATTATGGAAAAATATTGTTTACATTTAATAAGTAATAATTTCATCCCAAATATCCTGAAATGTGTCAGAAAGTTTATTTTGATGATTTCTACCTCAGCTTTGAACATTGGTCATTCCATGGTCAAAATCTAGTCAGACCAAAAATATAAAAATCTTTTTATCACTCTTGATGTTACATGTGTAGCCCAAATATCGTTGACATTAGTCAGAAATATTGTTTGAATGATTTCTAGTTCAGGTTTGAAGAAGGATCATCTGAGCTAAAACGACGTCACATCACATAAAAAGGCATATAGGAAACAAAACCTTTTAAACATTTGCACTGTTTCAGATATGAATGTTATGATATCAGTTTCAGTTTATAGCATTATATCTGCCTTTCATACATTGCTAAAATATTGATTGAGAGCCTCAATAATCAGGTTAGCGATATAAGGGCCATCATGGCCCTCTTGTTCATTATTATAGGGAATAAGTAAACAATAAACCGATATGTACATTTTTGTCTTCTTTGTTGATAACATTTTTCTAAAGGATTTTCTATTTTTAAACTAAATAGTATTTTTGAGAAGGTTGCACTCGCATTCCGTTAATTGCATTAAGTGTTAAATGTAAGAATATTTAGAAATTCTAATTTGTAGCCGTTTTCAATAATCTCTTTTACCAATTTGTTTTTTTTTTCTCTCATTGATAAAAAAGTAATAGAAACGACCTGCGGCAAGTATTTCTGGAAAATATGCAATAACACTTATCTTGTCATTGTTTAATTTCACATCCCATTCGTACCTTGATACGTACCTTTACGCGTGAACGCAACTTTAAAACGCGTGAAGGTATGGTAAAACGTGGCTTCTTCCCTCTAGAGAGCCGTCTTCTACGCTTATATTGCTTGCTTGTGACAGTAGCTGAAGGCTTACGTTTTTTAAATATTTTTTTCTGCAACTGCTATACTTTTCTACTTAAAATAGAGTAAAACAGAATCCCTAAAAAAAGCCCAACACAACAAAATTGAAAATGTTGCAGGTTCGGTTTGATTGAGCCTGTTCATGGACTGTACTGGAAAGTGCAAGTTACCGTCCACGCCCCCTAGCACCGGCTTAAGCAGAAATCAACATTTAACACGAAATTAAACCTAATCCTTGAAACAGCTTTCCTTTTGTCTTTTCTATTGTCTAAATTATAATTATGTTGACATGTGAACCAAAAACACCGTCTCTTCTAAGACGTAAATTTGAAATACTATTTTTATCCCTAAGTTGATACAACTCCCTTAGTTAATACAAATTGGTGTCCGTCGCCGCTAATTTGTCGATGTCAAATATGGTAAGAAGCACACGTTCTGCTACTTTGCGCTAAATATTCAGTTGAATGACTCGTATTTGTGCCATAAATACCCCTTCTTCAATTTCCCAATACATAGTTCTGTGAACAATTGAATAATGAGAACGTATCTGGCAATTCTGTGACATTTACACGGTTATACATTACACGGTAACCGTTGATTTAATAAAATATTCAGAATTGGAAAGGCACCATAAATGATTCTACTAGGTTATTAATTTATTTTTTGTATAAGAAAGACTTTGTTTCGAGGAATATTTAGATTTTTTCCTTTACACATTGTTAAGTTCAGAGCTATGAGCAACTTATAACCAATAGAAAAAGGTAGACATTTACATATTGAACAAACCCAAAGAATATATGATTTGTGTTGAAAACAATCTCTTGGGATGATTTTTATTACTTGTTTGAATGAAACTTTTTAAATTCTACTCGTACAAAGTTAATCGATTCAAACATATAAAATTATCCTAACTTTATAGATAAGAATCTTTAATGAATAGCTCTGGCAATTCAACTTGCAAAATGCTGCAAAATTATTAATTCAATATTAAAATAACTCATTCTCCTGGCATTACTGTCTCAGCCTGTTTGTTACCTCTGTATGTTTTTATTAACATATAAAAAATATAGTTAACACAAATCATGTGCAAAGAATATAGTTAAATCAAATACAAATAAGTGTTATATGTGTTTATCAAAATGTTGGTTTGGTTTAAA